CAGGGAGATGGAGGCTACTACGAGGCCACAACTCACTCATCCTTGTATAGAGTGACTTAGTGCAGGGCTGTGAAAAAGAAATAGGCATTGCTGGATGAATTGTGGGATCGGCTCTATTCAGCCCGACTCAAAAAGGATAACCCCACTTTTCCAGTTTGATACAAGGTGAAATTAAGCTCAGCATGTAAGTAAGGGACACAAAGAATGCAGCTTAATTTATAAGGTAAATTGACAGAGGTGAAACTTTATTTACTTTATGTAATTATTATAATTATGACATACTGGATTTTGTTTGTACCTGTATGTGTCAACTTCTAATTTTCAACAATTTCTGTTTAAATCATCAGTACACATGACAGATGTGGTGATACGGAATTTTTTCGTTTGAATAGCTTAGTACAGTCATTCATACACCATTACATTCTGAATTTGTACTATACATTCAAGAGTATCAAGAAAAAAGTGAGCAAACCATTGTACTAACTCACTAACTACTAATGTAATAAATTGACAACAAAAGCCATTGATTGAGGTGGCACTAGAGAGATAAGTATTCTGTTGCCATTTGTAATATTTCATGGTTCTTGGACCTGCTCTATAGATGCCTGTTTCCTTTGAAGACTGGCTCTGGATGTTTTCAGAGCCACCATTGGCTCCTGGATGTCTTTGTTGATTCTGTCCTTCCTTTCCCCTCAAATAAACAATCCTCCCAGCTGATCGCATGCCAGGTTCTGTGTGAAACAATCAGTCCTCGTGCCCTTTCTCAAGCATGCCAGGCCAATCAGAAGGCACGGGAAGACAAACAGAGCTGTGCAGCTGTCCTCTGAACAAAATGAAGCACTTCCGGTACCAGTGAGAAGGGTCTGGGCACTGGGCACTCCCTAAATCAACCATTGTACTTCTCCAAACCTTCAGGATCACAAAGTACTTGATTGTGGGCCAAGTGACAACCCGGACCCATACAGACAAATCACACACCTTCACCCATCCCTACCCTGTTTCTTCTTCCATTCACTCCCTCTTCTGATCGGTAAGATTTGGTTATATTTTTTTAGGCAAAAGAGATGACTTGTCCTACTACAAATGGATGGAATGGCTTCAGTGCACAAACCCACCTTTTCTCCAGTCAGCAGCAGACCCTCAGTGAGACCGACTCTGCATGTCTAGCTGCCAAAGCACTCAACATGCCACAGCAGTCTGAATATGGGTGCTGAAAAAGGGTCTGCATTTTAATATTCAGCACACTGATTCATTAACATTCTATTGGAGCCTACAATAGAGATTGGAGAGGCTCTGACCCTCTAGTTCTCCTGATCAAGGTCAGTAACCAAGAAAATAAAATCTGAATTGCATCCTGGCACACAGTTGGATTTTTCCAACGCTGCTATAGTCCCACTTACGAAAAGAAAATTACCAAACATCCTTTTTGCACTCAATAGAAGCACTCTGGTATGAAAAGAAAGTGGTTCTAAAGAAGTTATCATTTATGATCTAACAATATTAAGGATGAATTCATCCTCTGGACAAACATTTTGCTAAGTACCTTTAGCAATACAATGCACCTTGTAATATGTGAATTTTCTTAAAGTTTGAAGCTTTTATTTCAGATGCATCATGTCAGTGTGCATAGGGCTGTTGAGGGTCCCTTTGAAGCTTCTTGAGTTTTGTAGTTGGCCCCAGCAGTTTTATTACCAATGCCATGTATGCGGTGCCTTGTCTGAAAAAGGTCATTCATGCTGTTAACATCCCTTCTCGTATGGACAGACGCGGAGTAAAGACAATAAATCAAGACGATCAGTCGATTATATGATTAGGTGCTGTGACAAAGGGTGAGCATGTTGCTAACGCGTTGCCTGTCTGTAGAGGGACTATATGTGGGCAGACACAAAGCCTCATTAAAATACATACAGATCTGGGGCTGCTGTGGTGGGTGGGTGAGATGCTCCATCAAGATGTCGTTACGACAAGACTATCTCCACCCACTGGCATGTATCTCCCTCACACTGTCCTCCCCCATGCCTGGACAGCACAATGGCGGGCTCCTCTATAACCAGTGTGGGCTATTCCCTCCGTTCCCCGCAAGGTCAGGGCCTAATCCTCGGGGAGTTCTCACATTGTGTTTTAGCGAACTGGGGTCAAACTGTTTGAAATAGGGGGGTTTAGTTAAACATCTACTTAGCAGGTCCAATGTGTTGGCCCGAGCTTGATTTATGTGTAAGGCTGTTGTGCTCAGCTGCCCTGATACTCAGCAGCACATAGGGCTGCGTGCTTCACAAGTCTCGTATGTGTCACTGTGGAAAAAAAAAAAAAAATCTCCGTGCATACGCAATCTTAAGTAAAACACTGACCCAGCGCTCACCTCGACACAAGCCCACATACAGATGCAACATGTTTTCCTCAGCATCACAGCAGTCTGTGCCCGTCATCTTCTCCGCCACTGAGAGGCGCTGCGCCGGGGAAGAAAAGAAGTTTAAAAAAAAATAAAGGAAAAAAACTTAAAAGCGTGGCTGTGTTGTCAGCAGTGCCATGTAGGCCAACTGCCCTGTTAGTGAGGCTGACATTCAAAGAGAGCTGGGAAGCTGACAACAATCCCACAACCTCCCGCTGCGAGAAGACATTTCGCATGGTGGCCAAGTGCTTTGATACTGCTCTTGTGATCCTCACTGCCGCGACTTTGAAAACGCAAACACATACACAGCGCAGAGCGCAGGCCATCGCCATTATGCACCATTTCAACACTGCCTTTCAGAAGAAAATAAATAAATTCCAGATGTTGCCATTATTTCTGTCATTTAAATGATCCTCTTTCAGAATTAAAACATGCAATAGGTCATTTAGTTTTCTTTCCCCACAGCCATTGTTGTAACCACAAAAAAAAAATTAAAAATATAAAGATACAGGCAGTGTCCACTTGCCACAATTGGAGACTTAGTGATAAAATATGGCACTGTTCTCACATTGTCAATTAAAAGCAAGCCTGTCCCTATAATAGCACAATGTGAATGCAAGCTACGAGCGCTAATGCAGGTTACTGAATATGCAACCCTCTTTCAAGACTGAAGGCAAACAAGCTCCACTAATTACTGAGGCACTATACAGTCATTTTTCAGAGCAAGGGTTACTGAATGGTTGCCTATTACTTCACTCTCCCTGAACCAAATGCTTAAGATAATGACCAGTTACTAATTGGTGCTTACACCTTATATCAGTTTGTGCAGAATATAATTGCAGCTATTATGACTCTAATAATCGGTGGAATTAGCATCTTTTAGCAAAAAAAAAAAAAAAGAAAAAGTGTTAAATAGTAGTATGTGGTAGTCTGGTGCATTTTCTAGGAAGAGGTCTCGGTGTCGACACACCACCAGTTGATTCATCATTAACTTAAGGGTTCAGAGCAGAGAGAATGCCTTTCCCATCGCCCTATCGTTTGGCGGTGTCAGTGCATTTTCCACACAACCGGTGTGTGTGAAGTTTTGTGTGCCTCTGGGCCTGTGTGTGTCTTCCTCAGAGGCGTCAAGGGCGTCCGTGTGCATATGTTGCATGTAGATTTCTGTGTCCGCACAACATGAAGTGCACGGGCAAAGAGAGGGAGGTCTATATTCTATGCTGATCACGCTCCCCGTGCTTCAGCAGCCCCTCCTTTGTGTTGGCCCTTCCGTCAGCTGTTGACTTCCCAAGTGTCTCAGACAGCCGTGTTTCTGTCTGCGCCTCTGTCCACTGCCTTGTCTTGCTCACATTTCTGAAGTCCACTGACTGCTAATGGCTGTGTCTGGACAAAGAGCCCACTCTGTGGCCACTCTGCCCGGCCAAGCCAGGGGCCAGGGACAACCAGGAGGAGGAGGAGGAGGACGTTGGGGGTTGAGCTTGGTTTGGGAAAAGGGAGGGCCGAAGCTGGGAAGAGCACCCGGCACTGCCTGCCTCTCTACACTCGTGTCACGCTTGTCTGACAACCACTCTTCTGTGCTTGTTTGAACTGTCCTTCCCAATTAGCACTAATAAGTCACTCTGTAAGGATGAGCAAGCATAGTGCACCCAATCACCTCCGAGTCTACATATGCGTAAACAGATTTGTGCACAAAACACAAACGCACACATTCTGCCTATTCTCGCTAAGCTTAGACAGCCCATGAAAATCCCAGGAGGACAACCCTGCTAATAGACAGAGAAAGGCCAAAACGCTGTGCGCTCCCAGCAAACAAGTGCGAGTAAAGAAGCAAATTAATGACAAGTTGTTTGAAGGCTTTGGCAAAGGATAATTTTACTCTGACTTCTCACTTCGACTGGAGAATTGATTCGATCCCTGCTCAATCAAAGTGAAAAGATCAATAAAGAGCCAAGCAGACATGTTTTAATCCAATTTGTTTTCATCGTTCCATCACAAGAGAGTGCAACAGAGAGGCAGAATTTCTCTCAGAGGTGACAGTATAAAGACTCGGCGAGTGTCAGTCGCAGAAATTCAGGCCGGTGTGCACCGGTGATACTTCACTAATTTACCTCCAGCCTTTTCCATCTTCTACTCAGGGAGGTGGAACACAACTTTAAACCGTGAGAGATGGCTACACTAATAAACATTACGTTGTGACAGTCTGAAATACCAGCTTGCGAAATAATTGCTGTTGTTCTGTTTCATGGTACAGCGTTCAGTTGTACGAACTGAAGTGACATACAGCATGGGGAGGAAGGCATAAGAACTCTGGAATAATGACTTCACTTGTGTTTTCGCAAAGTAAAGACTTAGTCAAGCTTGGCTGTGCTCGGCTGTTTATTGTTGCCTGCTTGTTTATTGTCATGCAGAAAGCAGAGGAGGTATTAAAGGCAGATTTCGCCCTTATTTTAAAATGTGGTGCTGAAGATTAGAGCTCTTGCCAAACACTGTGGAAACACTTAATTGATTTCCTTTGGACTGTTTACCTCCACTGTAGCCCTCCTGGAGCCCGGCTCACGCATGCACACGCGGACACGCACACAAACACTCACACGGAGTACAACCCTAGCTCCATTTACGCCAACACAGGCCTGCCAAGAGCCTCATTAGTATTCACAGCAGTGGCATTTGCCAGCCTGAGCGTTGCCGTGGTGATGCTGCCCACACAAGTGATGATAAATGGTGCTTTCAGCTTCTCTGCCTTCCACAGAGCAGAGCAGGGAGCTGAGGAGTTGCTGGCGAGGACCCAGCTACAGCCACGGCTATAGCGAGGCCTCATCCCTAACACCAGGCAACTGACGCATGACTACACAAGCCCAAGGCTGCTTGAAGGCTTTGGGTGCAGGGGAGTGGTGGGTAAGAGGGGGTTTGGTGCCGTGTGGGTTGTGTGCATGAAAAAGAGATTTAAGCTTTTGCCGTGTGTGTGTGTGTGTGTGTGCGTCTGGGTGTGCGCGTTCGGAGAGGGTGAGGAGGGGGCATGTTGGGAAGAAGTGTGTGCTTGAACTTGTTATTGTTGGCTGAAAAAGTGATGTCAGCTCCAATGTTTCTCAAGTGTGTTTTGTTCATGTGTTTCTCAAATTTGTGATTAGTTTATCTCAACTTAAAAGTTCTGACTAATAAACCGGAACTCTGGTTTTAGCGTCATTTGGTATTCCTGACCCCTATAAATTCTTGCCTGACCAAATAAAGGGATCCATCATAATAAAAAATACAACTGAATACTATCCACTGAAAAACAAAAACGAAAGATTAAAAAAGGAGATGTTTTTTTTTTTTTTGATTCACACACCACGTCTGAAAACTGTCATGAATATTTATTTCTAAAAAGTCAGGCATTATTCATAGAGAAGTTTATAGATTTACGGGGGAAAAAATCCTTAAGTAAAGGTGAATAAAAACCACACAAGAAAAATATGCAATTCTTAACTGAATCAATCTGGTTATTCTGTTTATTTACTTGAGTAAAATATAACAGATTTTTATTTGAACATTTATTTAATCAACTGTGAGAAGGAGAGACTGGGGTAATTTCTAATTCCACTGCGCTCCCTCTTGCGTTTCTTTCACCGCAAGTTTAACAGAAAACACTCCGTGAGCCTTAAATCAGTGTCGACCGACAGAGGGTTAAGGCATCCCACTACGCTTGCCTTCCCCAAGAGCCTACACATACAGATGTGCTAGCAATGAGGACTTAGAGGCAGGAGTGAAACCCCCCACCCCTCTCCCGGGTCCTTGTTAAACACAGAAAGATTGTTATTCATATGTGATACATAGCACATTAAGACCTGGCTGAGCTGAAATCATTCAACCTCCTTTGAAAAATGACACAAAAAAAAGAGATCAGTGTCATTTAATTGACACTATTTTATCTGTTTCTCATGAGTACCAACAATTAAATTAAAATGTATTAGAGCAGTGCTTAATATTTTGATTGAACCTGTTTCTAATTACGTCATATATATAAATATATATATATATATATACATAGACTTTTGATGAAGGAATTTCCAGAAAAGGATTTGCTGTATTGTGGAATAAATACCAGAACAACATAGACCATATTGCTTCAGTAATCCAGTGTTGAACGTCTTATTTTATTTTGCTTTATTTTATTTAGTCAGTCCCAGCTTTACTCTTCAGTCAATAATAGAAGCCGTGGTTTTAAACAGGAGCAAACACCATTTCTACTTTCCAATCACATTCTTCAATCTTCTCACTCAACATTTTGCTTCATCTGAGTCTTCTAAAGAAAATTTGACATTGTGAAGTGAGTATGTCTGATAAAATTACAACGTTTCTTGCACCAGAAACGCAGCCCTCCTTGGTCGAACTTGGTGACGGCCGCCCCCTTCAAAGCATGGCCTGACCCTTCCAAAATCAAGCCTGATTAGACATCTCTAGGACACTAAGAAGCGCCCAACTTCAAAAGGAGCATAGACAATCACGGCTGGGGTGGTGTGGCATGGGGGCGGTGTTCAGAAACCTCAGCCCTGTGCTGTGGCGCTTTGGGCCAGACTGAACGATCTCAGCCAGGGGGCTGGGGCTATTAAAAGATAAATGTATTTCTCTGTTGCATTATGCATGATGGGAGGAGGTGGGGGGGGGGGGGGAGCTGGGAGCTGGAGGCTTAGCGCGGCAGTGGATCGCTTCTCGGGCTCATCAGACAGGGCCGTAGCCCCCATTGCACAAACCGCACCTACACTTGGAGGGGGGAGGGGGGGGGGGGGGGGGGGGGGGGGGGGATAGGGATGACAGCTGGGAGGATAGAGAGGGAGATAGAGAGATAATGCAACAGTATGTATTCCCTCACACACGCATACACACATACCAAATGTCATATTAGCATCTAAATCTAAATAGAAAAAGTACCAATGAAAATATTTCCCTCGACTTAAATGAAGAGAAACAAATTCTGCATTCGCAAAATTGTCAGATTGCATTCTTTTGTTCAACTCAATAAACATGTTCACACACATTCATGCACAAACCTGGAATGGGAATACTGAAAAACCTCTCAGATGCCAATTAAGTGGAGGGTTTGGGCAAATATTTTGGAGACATGTTGGACTTCTAGACCCGACTGAAAAAACAAGTGAGCTATTGTCCGACTCATCTCTGACCTGCTAGAAAAGCAAAGCATCATGACCCTGGTGTCGTTCATTTGAAGATGACTTGGTGCAGAGAAAAGCCAAACAAATTGGAGAAAAAGTCAAACAGTAGATGCAGCAAATAAGCCCCATCTGTTTACTGCAAATATGACTGAAAATGTCCTTTTTTCTAAGTTAAAAAAGAACTTTAACACTATTTTTATGCTTCAGATGGACTGTTTCCATTGGACTCTTATATATTGTATTTTTGACAGATAAAGGAATAAAAGCTACTAGAAATGTTTTCTGCTTAATTGTTTATCTCATGTGCCTCACAGTGGTGGAACTTATTGTTTATGTTTTTATCAAATGCTTTCCAAATTGTTTCATAATTACCCATAATTTAACACACACCATGTGATTTTGCCATTCAGTGTATTAGATCAATGGGATATGTTTTTTTTTCTCAGCAGTCGTTTTGAACACTGTTGTATTTGAAAATAATATTTTTAAAGATTCATTTTGTGACTTGAAATATTTTGTAAATGTCCTTGCCAGTGACAAGCCAGTTGTTATGTTTCTTAACATTTTATTCATCTACCATATCCATTCGTCGCACATCCATTCAAATGCAGTATTAAAGATGGTTATTCATGCGTCCATTAAAAACTGCTTTTCTACCAACACAAGTGCTGCCCTTTGCTTATATTTACAAATCTGAGCTACTTTATACAGGCATAAAATGCACACTTATGCTGGGGAGAAAAGACAGGCTCTGTGGTAGAGTAGAGGGTGGTCTGAACACATCAGTACTCATGACTCCATGCTGTGATCATTTGTTTCCAGACAAGAGGGCACAAGGGTGGGAAAAAAGGAGTCTAAGACAGCCAGGAGGTGTGTGCAGTTGGTGCAGGGCGGGAGATGAAATGTGTGTGTTTGGACAGATGAGTGTGTTTTATCTATCTATGTCCTTGTTTATGTGGATCACAATCCTTACATTGCCACTTTACACATTCTGCCCTGAATTAGACACAAGAGACAAAAGGCTTCATATTTGTGCTTGCATGTCAAGGATTACTTGTTCTATTGAATGTGCCCCCCATTATCTGCTTATCACTCTCTGTGCTCTTTAATCTCTTTCTTGTCTCTGCTCAATGGCTTCCTCTTACTGTCTCCCCATCACAAATGTAGCCTTTCTCCCTTTCTATTTTTTAACACTTACAAAACTGAAAAGGCTTGGCCTGGTCCGGGCCACCTGGAAGCGCCAGTGAAGCTTTCTCCCAGGCCTGGCTCCCTGCCACTAGCCAGCTGTAGCATTGTGAGTGGCCCATCTCAGTTAATTCCATGCATTGCAATTGTTGCCGGGCACTGTTTACAGCCACCTCCTACTCCGCCTGGGTAGCCTCTCCAATTGTCCTGGGGCCTCCCTTGTTTAATACTGTTTTGCAAGTTATTAAGCCCTGGAAGTCCATTAATCACAGTTCACGGGCTGTGTAAGCCCACACAAGGCAGGCAGAGGTGGGGGATGGGGAGGCACACTCGCTATCCTCAATGGGCTTAGACGGTGGTCCATTCAGATCCCTAACGAGATCATTACCACTAACTAAATACAAACCTGACCCCAAGACCTGCTGGGAAATTACGTATGAGCTCCCCGGTGCAAGACATTAATATACAGCCTCCCCCCCTCCATCTCCACCCCTCCCATTTTCCTGCACCAGTGCGTGAACGCCCACCCCCAAAGTCTCCCAATGCAACCCAACCCTGCTCCCCGCTTTCCCACCCCCTCTCTTGTCCATTCTCACTTTCTTTCCAATGGACAGAAAACTAAACCTGTCATCAAAAGGGCCCTAATCACTGCTGTGATTGTGGTAAACCAAGCCTGACAGACATTTCACTGAGGCCTCAATGGCAAACGACATCAGTGCCACCTCCCTTGTCAGCCCCCCCCCTTCTTTCCCTTGCTTTCTGTCAGTCCCCCGCTCTCTCTTTCTACCAGGACTCTGGCCAATGAGCAACAAACACCCAGGGGCTTTTCAGATTACTTGACACACTGTGTCCACTTTTGGGAGGGAGACCACCTGGTAAGCTCATTTTAATACAAAACCAGTTCACTCTCCTGTCTCTTTTTCCTCTTCTCCTCTAATTCCTCCTCTCAAGCCAAGCTACCACCATGAATTCTGTCTAATCCAGTGACCCCCACAGAACATTCCTGGTTTTACACTCCTCGGAAGAGGCTGGATTTGGGCGGATTACATGCTTCTAGTTCTGTTTGGAGGCACCTGTGACTGGAAGTGGAAGGAAGGAGCAAAGTTGACAATAAAACAGAGAAAGGGAGGAAACGAGCAAAGTTCCCTCCTTAGAAATAAACTTTTCACCTTTTTTTGTTCACCCTTTGCATCTAGTGCCGGCTCTCCACCTGCAACTTTTCCACAAACCCAGGCTGGGTGGAGGTCCCCTCACCACAGCAGGGTACTGTGTGGCCCAGACATGGGGATATGGGGTTTCTAAGGGAAGACAGAGAGGGATGTGGGTGGAAAAGAGGCTGGTTGGGGGGGTTTCCACTGACTTTCACTTTAGCCCCTCAGCTTATGTTAAGATGTTGTCACTTTAACCATTTCAAGTGTTGCCACTTCAGATGCTGGAGCTTAGTGCTCTGGTGGGGGGTTTAGGGAGGGCAAGCGGGAGGAAG